TTTCCCTAAATAGAGAAACCTCAAAATTATGTTAGGTACATTAGAAACTGTTAATACATTCATAGAGAAAAGCAATTAACATGTTCAGAGAAAAACAATTAACATGTTTCACAATTACGTACTGCGAGATCATTTGTTAGCTTTTCCAAATGGTCCATGTAATGCATCTTCTTCATTCTGTATCTCCTTGAATAAATTCGATTTCTCAATATCCTACAAACAAAAGATAAGTGAATTGAATAAAAAAACATCAAATTTAACAGAATATATATATATATATATATATATATATATATATAATATTAAGGTTTTTATAGATTTTTATAACTATTAAAAATATAATGATTTTTAAATTAATTTTTATCTAAATTTTATTTAATTTTAATCTTTTACAAACACTAATAGCATGTGTTGTTAGTCTTTGGGAAGGATTAGTAACATACTGTTTTTTTCTTATTAAATGTAAGCATTATAAAAATTAAAAAAGATGCTTAGTAACATTTTGTTAATATATGCTCATTCTTTCAATAATTTTCATTTAAATTTAGTCTCAGTTTTTTTAATTCTTACAATTAAGACCTTTAATCATTAGTTATTAAAAATAACTATTTCTATCACTTGTTTTCATTCAAAATTTTTATATTTATATTTTTTTTCTCTCAAAATCACTATGTAATGAATCCAGTAAATTATTTGAAATCATTTTCTATTCAAAACTTATCAATCAAAATGTCATATTTCAATTTTAACTGTATTTTAGTTTTTTCATTTTCAAAACCTAAGCCCCACATTATAAAATATATTAAATTCCATCAAACTTTTGATGTTCAAATCCATCTTAAAATCTAATTATTTGAGAAAAAAATAATTTCAGAGTTTTACGGATATAAAAAATTTAGTGACGGAAGGATTTGATGATATAAATTAAAAACAAGACAGAAAAAATTATCGGACTAAATTAATTGCATATAATAAAAAAATCCAACTGAACCAAAAGTTTTGGATAAAAATTAAAACAAAAATCATATTTTCATAATCAATAAACATATTTGAGCCTAAATAATTTAATAATATACCCCTTTAGTCTTGGATCCTCCGTTTTCTTGGGCATCTTGAGATCAAAGGCAGGTTTACTTGCTTGGCCTTCATAATTTTGGTTAGTGTTGAAACTAATACCAACACTAGGAGTTGCAAATAAGCCACCATTGATGAGATTCTCCTCAGCTTGATCAAGAGTATGATTATTGCAATGGTAGAGTGCTGCTTGTGCAGAATAGATGTCAGCAATGCCAAGTTTGAGATCCAAGTTAGGGTTTGTCCTCCCTTCAGCATTACCAAGTTTGAGATCCAAGTTAGGGTTTGTGCTCCCTTCAGCAACACCAAGTTTGAGGTCTAAGTTAGGGTTTGTGCTCCCTTCAGCATCACCAAGGCCCTTGTTCAAGAGGCCTTCCCACACTTGAAAGGATGGACCAGCATCTCTGAAAGAGAAAGGTTTAAGCGCAATGGGTTTTACAAGGCTTATCTTCTTTCCAGCTTCTCCCATATTGATCAGGCTGCAAGACAAAGAACAAAGAAAAAAGAAAAAGAAAATAAAATTAGCTAAGATTTCCATTTGAACATCTAAAGGAGCAAAATGAATGCTTTCTTACATTAGAGAAAGAACTTCTTTGTTTTTTCTCCCTTTTTCCGTACAGTAGGTAGTGAATTCTTTTTTGATTACTGGTAGTGAATTCTTTATAAACAAATGGCTGGTTATATAGATCAATGATACCCTAATTTGGTATAGAATTCAACTCTTGTTAAGTGAGGTAAAGGATATGAGTAAAGCATATGAGTAATCTGAGTTGTTGATGAAAAATATCAACGGTTAATACTCTATCACATTCATGATTGATTATGCAAGTACATGTAATATTGACCTCGATTTTCTTTCTGACAAATTAAATTATTACATTATCTTCTAAGTGAGTTGCTCATTTTAAAAGAGTTGAATCTAATTTAATAATACAGCATATTAATTAATTCCATCTTTTCTTGAAAAAGTTCCTGCATTATATTTTATCTATAAAGGATGGCATTTAATAAAAATTATCATTGTTTTATGAATTTGGAAAAAAATGTAAATTTTGCTAGTTAGAATTGAACAATTAGCTAGCATGCTAATTTTCCAGAAATATTTATACCATTATTTGTTGATATGATCTGTCGGGGATGATTATCCCAACTTTTTTTTTTACACCAATGATTTATCCCAACTCATAACCCAGACACACTAAAATTAATTATGAAAAATAAATAAATATGATGCATATCTTTGTATGAATCTAATACCTCAGGACACTCCAAACCAGGGTATGTTCACATATACATGCATATGAAATCCTCATTTGAAACCAAATTCAGAAAGATTCCCAACCCAGGCTATGTTGGCATCATTGAATTATTAATGGAACCAAATTGTCAACCAAATTAGTACATACAATGTATATATATGATTTTCTTTTATCAGGTAAGTCACTTTATAAGGGAATACTAACTTGTTTTCCCATACTATACATTGTTTTCAAGATTTTGACATTTTTCCTGTTTTTGTGTGTTTAACTAAAACGAGTATTAAACATTTTGGCCTGTTAGATGTATAAAAGAAATATATTCTCCTAAACGTTAACTAATTATATTTTCCACAAATACACATATATACATGTAGTAGCGAAGCTTGACAAATCATTTTGAAGGGAGAAAATAATTAAGATTATAATATATAAATCTAAATATAATATTTTGGTAATATTATTTTTATAAAATTTAAGAATTATAATTATATTATGCAAATATTAATTTTTTTAATTAATTAATTTTTATGATATTCACTATAATTTTCTATTTTATTAATAAATTTTATATTTTTCTAAATATAGAGACTTTATTTGTAAATTATTTTTATAAAAAATATGCAAGAAACGATAAGTTCTTTTATATAAAATAAAATATATTTATTCATTTGTTTGTGTGTATGAACTAAACTCAAGCCCTGTTAACATTAATGTAATTTTTATTGATAAAAAATTATATAAGAAAGTTGTATTATGACGGAAGAAATAATCATATTTTGTCAAAATTATAACAAAATTTGTAAAATTGTAACAGCGGAGCTTAACAATTCTTTTGAAGATGGCCAAAATAATTAAGATTATAATATATAATTTAAATATATTTAATTATTTTGATAATGAAATTTTTATAGAAAATTTAAGCATTAATTTAATATTCAAATATTAATTATTTTATTAAATAATTAATTTTTATTATATTAACTATATTTTCCTATTTTATTAATAGCACGTTTTACATT